AGACTTGGTGTAAAGTAAGTTTGAGAACCGCTCGCCGCCTGAGAGGTTCAGTGTGACGACTTATCACAGAGTCGCCATCATCGAAGCAGACGGCGCGCTTCGGGGACGTGTCGGCTTGTTGGGTCGGGAGACTTTTATGTCGGTTTCCACTCAGATTTGTCAGTGACAAGCAGACACCCTTGGGTGCCATTGTCTTGGCGAGACAGTTCCTTCCCCCCCACCGACCCTTTCGTCGGATTGCTCGCTCGCCGTCTTCACCGCGATACATTTTCATTCGGGAGACCCAGGGGTTAGCCTTCATCACCGCGTTGTCATATTCAATTAGCCAGAGGACCCGCGTCGGTATTTGTCTCCGTTAAGCAGCGGCGAGCGTCACGAGCCACGCTGAGATGCCGCACCTGCAGCAGTGGGGGGGAGGGGAGGGGCTGCCGGGGAACGCAGAGGTGAGGGGTGTTCAAATTGCCGGGACCTGATGCAAGGGCCACTTTGACAAGCTGCACCTTTAATTGAATAACTCTTTCGATGCTATAGCCATGAAAATGAAAAAAAAAATTGTAGTAAGCTAACAATTTATCAGCGTGACTCAAAATCATTAAATGTGATCATGTCATGAATTAATGTGTAATTGCAAATCCCCCCATTGTGGGACTAATCAAGTTTATCTTATCTTAATGTGATTTGTTCACAAATAGAGCAGAGCAGAAAGTGGAGCAAATCATTTTTTGCTCCTCCTCGAACTAAATTATCTGCATTCAACAGCGTTATGGAGGGAAATGTTGTCAGTGCTTGTAGGCGGTTTATGTATTTGCATGTCTACAATGTTGTCTAGTACCACTATCGAGTGTTGATGACTTGATGTTTGTTTTTTTATGGTCAAACAAGCAGAATCAGACTGACCCATAAACATTTACAAATTTGCATATCTTCGGGAAAAAAAATGTTTGCTACGATAGTCGTACTTTTTCAAAGAAAAAAAATAGTTCGTTCCAAGATCATATTACATTGTATTTTTTCCAAGATAAGGTCGAAATGTTTAAATGGCATATTTTGACAAGCGAATTAAAAAAAATAATAATAAATCATCTCTCATTATGCCTTTTATTCTCAAAATAAATACAACTTCATGCCTGTAAAAATGCACCTTTTGTCATTTCCACCTGTTCCTTGTGTCTACCCATCAGCTCCCTCCAGCTACCGGTGTCTTGTCCAGGTGTGCCTCGTTGTCTCATCAGTTTGTTGAATTCAGTTCCCCGTTTCCTCAAAATCCGTGTCAGATTGCTCAAAAGCAATATTAGAAAACTCAAATATTCATGCTGCACACACCGCTGAGTTTGTCTTCATGAAAAGCCTTTAAATGTTCCATTCCAATCCCAGAAAAAAATGAACTAATTCACATTCACGGGCCATTTCATCAAGCACACCAGGAGCATCTCATGACAAATTAAAAACAGCTCTCAGAAAGATGCAGTTCTGCAAACTGCAAGTACAATCATAAACACGCTGTTGAGTTGATTAGCCTTTTCGTTTTGTGTCTCATTGCATCGAATGGATTGGGCCAGCAATTCAGGCTCCTTGGTTTCACATTCAAGAGTCTTCAATCTTTTATTCCGAATTTTGGCGGGGCCGGCGCTTGCACTTGTAAAACGTCTCTCCATTATACATGAAGAAAAGCCACAAGAGAGCAGGAGGAGGATTTCTTGGTAGCAGGCACGCGCGTATACACTTTTTTTTTGACTTGTTGGCCTTGGCCAAGTTCTGTCATAGCTATCACCACTTGACTGAATGATGGCTGGCACGGGCTAACACCTCATATCAAAAGAAAAATCAATGTCAAGTGACAAAAAAAAGGATAAGCTGGTTTTAAAAAAAAGACTTTCTGTGCACGACCCTTAAAAAATAACCACTAGGCAACTGACATGGAACCCAAGCAACAGCACAACAATCTACACCGCAAAGTCAAGCCTCAAAAAGCCATGAAATTGAATTCTGGGATGGACTTCAAGAGCACCTGCAAAAAGACAACCCGAGCGCTCTTGTGGAGACTCATCTGCATTAATTGCACATCCAAGCCACTTTCATTGTGCGCCTAAGTGTTTGGAGGTGTGGATTTAAGTGGAAAATAATTGGCTGCGTCTGCGAGCTTTTCGATCCACATTTCCACTCGTTCATTCTACAACGAGCAAGTTCATTAACTCCAGACAGGAGCAGCAGGTCAAAAAACACACTCATTCCTAAGATTAATATGACGTCGAAAGCCGTCATTTCTTCTTTTTGCTCGATTTGGATGGAAAACAAGTCTAAACACGAGAGTCCACAGTGCTTTCCACTCACCGGGAAAGCAGCGGTACGGTCCGCCTCCGTACGCCGGGCTACTCGACTCTTGTGCGGACCTCCTCCGCCGCCGCCGCCGCCGCTACCGTCGCGTCCAGCCTCCGTCCAAGAAAATCTCCAGAGAAGTCCGACAAGCTGCTCAGCGGGCGCCGATATCCATTCCCGAAGCAGGAGAAGAGCTCTCATCCACTTTGGGTCCCGTTGTTGCGGTCTTAGTTCAAGTCCGCTCGTTCGTGAGCTTCTCTCGCTGGAGTCCCTCTGCAGGGTTGCATCCCAGCAGCGGTTGACTGACTGATTGAGGGAGGGAGGGAGAGAGGGAGGGATGGGAGGACGCTGGTCCTTCCCCTTTCTGCGAGTGAGGATGAGGAGTGGCATCCCGCACAACGCCTCTGGCCACTCCTGGTTGGCACCGCGAGATTTTCACGCTGATGATTGTGTTGTTTCAAAACTAACATGGCCCCACTAGTCAAAACATGGTGTTGTGATTCTGTGGAATATGTTTCGACTCGGGCGGCACGCCGGCCTCACGGTGCAGAGGTGCGGGGTTCGACTTGCACTTCATTATCCATGGTGGAAACGTATATTATTCTGAAAAGTTATTCTTATTTCTGACTGACTGTTGAGGCATGTCAAGATGCCATACCTGTCAACCTCGGCTAAAAGCTGCCCTTATAAATGATTACGATTCCCCTTACAAAGCAACAAAAACCCGTACAACGGTTTACCGCGCATGCGCACATCATGCTTTATCAATCCGAACATACGCAGCGATGAAAAAAAAATATACGATTGAGGATTACTTTTGCTGGTTTGCCGTGACAATAGTAGCGATCGACGACGGCATTGTCGTTGGCTACCAGCAGGTGAGACGATCTGGATTTGAGCCAAAATGGTCTTTGTGAGATCGGTTCACCATTGTTTTTTTTCCCGTATAAAAGTTGTAATACGCAGTACATGATTTGAAATGATAAAAAAAACGTATAAAATACGGGGAAAACGTACAAGTTGACAGGTATGAGATGCGAATGGTCACGTAATTTGATGTGAAAACCGCAAGCTAGCTCGAAGCTCGCTCTGCACAATAGGCGGCGAGTGGCTCTTGATTGAGCATCATGGCGAGTTATTTACTTTAGATTTGTTCTGTGGTGTCTATTGCGATAGTGGCCATATTAAAGTGTTGTCGAGATCCCTATGCTTTTTGTACTGCTTGTAAAAGTGTATAAAAATCCTCACATTTGTTGTTGTAACAATCTAGTATTCAGACAAAATTAAAATAGCTGTGCTAGCAATACTAGCTAATATTAGCGCCGTAAACGAGCCAACATTAGCCCCGGCTGCTAGCATGACTTTTTCATAACGAAGGCTTATTATAGTGCGATATTGATCGATTTATTTTTATGGAACGTACACTCAATTAAAAAACAAAAAGAGGTGATAAAAATAGTCGCTGAGCAGAAATGTTGCTTTAAGCATCGCTCGTGAATCCTTCCGCAGTCCCAAAACATGATTTTTAGCTTTTTTGAAAATTAAGTTGTCCAGAGTAATAAAAGGGAGTGTGAATGCTTGTTTGTCTTCCTGTGCCCTGCGATTGGCTGGCGACCAGTTCGGCATGTGCACCACCACCTACCCAAAGTCAGCTGGGAGAAAACAGTCCAAGCGTGGAGAGTCTCTGTCAATGAAATGCAAGGCCGGTCAATTACACCTCTCTGACAGCGTTGTTGTCTTAGTACAAGATTTTAAAAAATGATGTTGTACAAGCAACAATAAATCCATTATTTTATGCAAAATCCAGACTGCGTGTGTAGTATTTTTTTTCCTTTTGATTAAGGTCAAACGCGTCACATTATTCTTTTCTAAATGAAACATTGTGGCTGCGCACATGCTCTGACCTTCAAATTACACGCCGCAGGCGGAACGCATCATGTTTCCTTGCAGTAGTACACCTCAAAGAAAAAAAAAACCCACATCTTTTATTCCTAAATGAGTCGCAACAGGATGAGCATTTTTCTCCATGTAATCCAGGCCCTTCAAAGTGCCAGCATGTCTGTTTTTAAACTCTCTTCTTTCGGGATTAGAGGGGATTCGTTAGCATTTGCTAAGTGACGGACCCATATGGGATTTAATGTCTTTGCTGGACACTTTGCCCAAACTCATCCTGAGAAATTACCAGTGACGATGATATGTTTTATTTATTAATTTATGAATAAATGATAGAAGTCGAGATTTGCGCTGGGGGGGGGCGGGGTAAAATCGACAAAATTTCCCACGTGAATTTAAATGCAACAGTCATGCACTGCCACCCTCAAGAGACAGCTAACATAATTGAAAATTAAAAAAAACTAAATTTAACAAGCTCCTGAATCCATCCATGCTCGTAATAGTCTCGCAAAAATAGGACTTTATTTTCAAGGTACTGTTATTTCATTTTCTTTTCAGCGTGACCTTAATATTCTTTTGTAGTCTCTGCAAGCTGCCGTGTCAAACTCATTTTCATCACAGGCCCCCGTTGTCGTTATGGGTTCCCTCGGAGGGATATTAAGACTGGGAGACTCATATGAAAGTAAAACCTCATCAGATACTTACGCATACACAATTACCCCTGCATTTCATTGTTACTGCATGAATGGATGGACTTTATATCTAAAAATATATATATATCAAGAGTCAGAGAACATATTGAGAGGAGTCGTATGAGGTGGCTCGGGCATCTGGTTCGAATGCCTCCCTGGTGAGGTGATCCGAGAGGAGACCCCGGAGATGACATGCTAGAGGAACCGGATGATGAATCCCGGCCGGCCTCTGGATCCCCACGGAAGGGTTGGATGAAGTGCAGGAAAGTCCGGGCTTCCCTGTTCAAGCTGCTGCCCCCCCGAGACCCGGCCCTGGATAAGTACGAAAAAACGGATGGATGGAGTCATAGAAAAAAATTAATAACCAAACACTGAAAGATACAATTTTGGTGGAGCGAGATATTGGCCATCTGTAAAAAGTGAAGCAAAAATTGCCATTTCGTTTTTCGGCTGACGTCAACACACTGTGTTTTAGGGGGCCACAAAATAAAATATGGCGGCCCAGATCTGGCCCTTGGGTTTATGTTTGATAGCTGTACTCTACAAGCCTGCCAGTCCACATTTTACGCTACCTTTGCGTCTCTTTCAAACACATCAGAAGAGGCGGCGAAGTGGCACGCGAGCCGCCCGTCGTTAGCGCTAACCGGCGCATCCAGTCGAGATCCGTTGCCTCCCTTTCTGGTCTCACTTAACAAGCTCCCATTGCTTCCTCTCGTCTCTAAAGTGTTTGACTGACATCATGGAGCTAACAGCCTATCTTTGTCCGCCATCATTAATTAAACAGTGCCCGTGACGGAGTGCACTTCCTATTGCACAAATAATCAATTCCGGCGCTTTCCCCTCTTATCAGCGAGTAGATGCCATCTTTTGAGAAGCGATAATTGGGGGTGCTTTTTTTTTTTTTTTTGGTTTAACGGCGCTGGTTGTCAGCACTGATATCCTTTGAGAGTTTTGCACATAACACCACAGTCGGCATTGTTCCCTGTGTCTTTGGCTCAGTAGTGAGTGAGGATGCGACTTTAATAGTCTTGCAGATGAAAACGGTGTTGCGTCGGTGCCGCGCGCCAAAGCTGCACCGTTAATTGCATCGTCGCCCTTTGAAAGGATATTCTCGGTGGGGCAAACGTCACAGACAAGTAAAAAAAAAAAAAAACAAAAAAAAAACGGATAAATCGTTTTAAACTGGACGACCTTGGAGAATCCGAAACTCAAAATCTTGAGTCCACGATTTTCTGTTGAGAGCCTTTTAATTGGCAACTGGAGTTCTGAGTCAAGCGGAGGAGTTCAGATTCTTCAGGTGTTCTTCATGAGCTTGGAAAACGGTCACACTCTCGAGATATGCAGTCAACCGTCGCCGGGTTGCAGTTCAGGACTCATTCTTGGCCTGGTTTGCCAAGCAACCGAAGAGGACGCTGAGGTCTGAAGTCCGATGCTGAGACTGCTGTTCGCTGGGTAAAAATCTCAAAGTCAAGTTGTGGAAACAAACATTTTTTCCCCCCTACAAATTGAGTATGGCTTGAGTCAACCAGATGATCCTGACCGCCATTTTACAGTACATATCCGGCGACAGTATTTTGCAGCTACTTGATATTTGTGTGACGGTGGCTCCGTCCAGCCAAGGTAAAGATGTGATGAGGGGGACGTTTTTCACACAAAAATAAACTGTACGCCTTCCCCAAAGCTCGATGAACACGGAACCCAACGCGCCACATTCATTTAGCATTCCTGCACACTCGAGCACACACAAAGTTCCTCGCGGTGTTTGCTCATTGCTGCTGACTCAAACAATCCCTTGCAGGTTTTGGAGTGTTACTGTGTCATCAGTGTGACACATCACACACATAACTTCATTACAGACGACCGCAGAAACGACAACAACAGATATTATCTTTGCATAGGGAGTCACGGTTGTATCCGCTTTCTCGCTGCCATCCCGGCAAATTGGCACATGAGATGCGCACATCAATGTTGCAATGCTGACATTTATCTGCCATTAAGAACGGACCGGCCGGAGCCCGCGTTCGCAGAGCTGTTGCAGCTCTTCACGAGGTGGCAACGTTCGCGGTTTTCAACACAGAGGGCTCAGGCCAGCGAGGACCGAATTCACGAAATGGATTGCGCGGCTTTTGCAGAGCGCTAAGCGGTAATAAATGAAGCAAACGGATGGCGTGTAATTCACCAAGCACGCGCAGTGGTGGCATGCGGCAGTAAGTTCAAGGCGCTATCAGCGGCCGCAGTTCATTCTTTGTGGATTTAGCCCTGAGTATCCGGTGATAAATGTCAAGAAGCTGGCAAATTTGCTGCAACCGGTACCTGACATTCAAGCGAGTTAGCTGGGAAATTCTGGAATTGCCGCCTTAGCTAGGCCAATGCGAAAGGCGCTTCAGTTGGGCTTCCCCAATTGTTCGGCAATTGGCAACTGATTGAAGAATGCATACTTCCACAATGTACAGGAAAAATCAACGGTTCTCAGATCACGTTCAATTCAATAAAGTAGGTTTGATAAAACAGCCAACTAATTACAGTCCTCGATGCGAGCTGGAAGTCTGACCAAAAAGCGCTGATTTAAGAGGCATCAAAAATTCAGTAAAGGTCACAAATGGAGCATTATTGTTTGGCCTTGGTGTAGTTTACCTGCTAAGTGTCACATGAAATATTAAAAGCTAAGCAGGGTACGCTAACTTCAGGCTCAGCATCCGTTATTTGGGCCGTGCTTCTCCTTCCAACATGATGAGCCTGTCATGCGGTTTATAGCGGGGTGTTAGCTACGAGATGACAGCAGCCACACGTAATTAAAGCGGCGTGTGTTTTGTCGGCAGGTTATAAATTAGATCCCGACAGAAGGGTTGGCTTGTGGGAAGCAACTTTCTCCCAACTTGATCTTGAAAGTTCTGAACGTCGCAAGACAGCGACAGTAAATCTTCAAACGCTATTTGTTTTTTTTTCACGTTCAATAGTAAAACATAAAAACTAAACACATTCTCCAGGGGAATAGGCAATAAGCCTTACGGCGAATAGTGAAGAAAAAGAGAATTACCGTATTTTCCCCACTATAAGGCGCTTCGGAGTATAAGGTGCACCTTCATTGAACGGCCTATTTTAGAACTGTTTTCAAATATAGGGCGCACCGCATTATATAGAATAGAAGCTACAATAGTGGCTGCGGTTGCGTTATGCATCCACAAGATGGAGCTACGCTAAAGGGAATACAATACAATACAGCTTTATTTATGTAGCGTTTTCACAACCACTGCAGCCGTAACAAAGCGCTTTACAGAACATTTAAAATACTACGTTCAACAAATCAGAATATTGATCCATATATAAAGCGCATCGGTTTATAAGGCGCACCATCGGCTTTTGAGAAAATGAAATGCTTTTAGGTGCGGCTTATAGTGCGGAAAATACGGTACACCCACCACGGTACACTCGTATCGTACATCTCTGGCTAAACTTAACTTCGCTAGCTGTCAATAGCCTTCCTATTAGCAGCGCGGAGGGTTCCACAAGTAGACAACGCAAATCGGTGAATTCGTGATTAGCTAACCACAAATTGGTGGAGGTTCCCCGGAATTGAATATAAGTCTGCGTACGTTATGTAACTTTGTGTGTCGTGTTCTTGTTGAGGCGGCTTCTCGGTTTAGAAGAAGCATCTCCGAATAAATGTCACTCATTTGAGATTTGCGGAACTGAGATCGGTTGAGGTTCAGCAGCAAAATTGTCTTTCCTATCTTCAAGCGCCGATCAAAGAGTATGACAAATTTTCAGTCAAATGGCCATATGGCATTTGGCAGATTCCACACTACTTATACGCCGACAGTGTTCCAGTGCATACTTAAGATGAAAAAAAAAAACCAACAACAACACGTGCGGTATCAGCAGCACAAAATGTCCCTTACATAAACCTTCCACACGGACGCTTTCACACTTCCAGCCAACAGAAATATCTTGACATCTGTGATGGGCGACACATTGACAGAAAATTCTATGGGGAAGGCAAACTTCAACCCTTCAGACGTGTGAAGCTTCTTCACCAGCGTCAGTCGAAGATGAGGAAAACAATACAGCAAAGTCCATCCATCCATTTTCCGATCCGCTTTATTCTCACAAGGGTCGCGGGGGTGCTGGAGCCTATCCCAGCTGTCTTTGGGCAGTAGGCGGGGGACACCCTGAACCGTTTGCCAGCCAATCGCAGGGCACACAAAGACGAATAACCATCCGCGCTCACACTCACACCGAGCGACAATTTAGAGTGTTCAATCAGCCTACCATGCATGTTTCTGGAATGTGGGAGGAAACCGGAATACCCGGAGAAAACCCACACAGGCCTAGGGAGAACATGCAAACTCCACACAGGGAAGCCAGAGCCGGAATCGAATCCTGCACCTCTGCACTGTGAGATCGACGCGCTAACCACTGGACCGCCATACGGCAAAGTGCAAAGCAAAAATAAAAATCCAACTCAGCCTAGAGATCTCAAATCAAAGTGAAATCTGCTTGCTCATTGTCTGCCAAAATATTTCTTCTTACCAGGCAGGCTGTGACTTTCACTTCCTCCAAGCATTTTCTTTTTCCTCCAAGTCATCACTGAGGTTGTACTAAGGGTATCAATTTAGCTTGAAATAAAAAGTACTGTTGTGAAAGAGCTGTAGCTAGCATTACTGTTTGTTCAAATTACTGTATTATTACGCTTGCTGTTACTTTATTTGAAGATTTTTTTTTCTCGTTCACTCAGCAGCTAATTTTGCTTGAATTAAGTACCGCATTTCATTTTCAGTGTAGGACCCTTGTTCAGCCAAATGTCCGGAATATGGCGAAGATGCACTGCGGCATGTTGAAGCAAAGTGGACCGCAAGAGTGTGTGTTGAGATGTGTGCACGTCAGAGTGTTATTATTTGTCAAGCGTGTCTGTCTTTGGGCGTTTTAAGTGGGGGCTAAGAATTGACGTTTACACTGGTGCAGATGGCGCGTGGCATTAACATGCTGAGCGAATGCGAGCAATTCATATTTATTGCTCAACAGATGCTGACTATATAGGCGGCGGTAAATTACAATTTGTTTGCTAGACGGATGCTTTTCATTATTGGGCGCGTCAACATCTGCCGGGTTCGACTTACGCAGCTGCATCGAGTCACTTTGAGGGATATTCCTAATTGGGGCGTGCGGGAAATAACAATTGAGCAAAAAAGTTGGGACTGTAAAATAGTCTCCATTAAAATGAACCAAAGGCTTAAATGTGTAAAAGCCGAATCCGTGGAGCTTTTAAATAAAATCACATTATGGAGGTTGATCGGGAGTGATGGCCATAAAAG